CAGTGGATATAGGCCTTTCAAATGGAACTGATAAATTTGGCATACAACTACTTTGAAAATTTAGTTTCTGGTACCTAGTTTGTGCATGTTTGTTAGTTAACTGCTGCTTCGTCACCTACCCGATCAGCTACACCGTTCATTCATAATATGTAGGCCTATTGACATTTTTTAAATCTGTTGAGTCAGATCAATAAAGTTCTTAAGTATTATTGATGAAAGGTGTGATTGGCAAGATCATTATTAGTTCAGTTAGAAATGAATTAGCTAATAGAAATGTACGGTACTGCAATTTTGCTAAAAGCTATAGACCCGGCCTTACTTTCAAATAAAGCCTTACTAACTCTTTACCAGACATTATTTCTGCCTTATTTTAAAAACTATTGTTCAGCAATGGAAGCAGTTTAGACAAAAATTTAATTTACATTAATAATTATAACTTTAAAAAAAAGCTTTAGGCTGGTCCTCCAAAACTCTACCAACATAACAATTTTGGAGAGGTGTGACGGGATATGACCGTGGGACTAAATGACCGGTTACCTGTACAAACAACCACTTCCCAATCCCCCCCACCCTCAACCCTTGTGGGGTTTTTTATTCTATATATTATAATGACGCTGTCCAAGACACCCACTTTTCTCCTCCTCAATGGATGAGGCATCTTGGAACTATTTTGACTGTATGCTTTTATTGGGACCTCAGTAAATCTATCGTGTTTCTGTCCGACAGGAAAGACGGTGACAATGATTACGTAACTGTGCTCATTGCCGAGTTAGCAGACGAGGTAAGAGTCTCCAATTTTGTTTTTCCAAAAATGTTGGTGTGCCCGCATCAATACAGTATAGATTATTTATGAGGCGGACTTCAACCCTGCGTGTCAGGGTCAATATGGGCTGAGAGGTGTACAACATCTCTGCTGAGAAACTGAGATGCTCGATAAAATTTTTCCTCACCCAGGAATCAAACTCGGTTCACTTGCAATGGTGAAACGCCTAACCACTAATGCCTGTGCCAAGTTCTTTCATTGGCTCGAGGGTTTCCCTTTCCATTCAAGGCCCAAGACCATTAATAATAAGAAGAAGAAAAAGAAATAGCATTTGTATAGCGCATATCCCCACTCGACAGCTAGCTCTATCTGCTTCAAACACTATATATTATTACCCCAGCAGACTATAGAATACTCAGAAAGATTCTAGGCTTCCCGGGAAGCATACAGTGTAAGCAGCCGATTAAGCCCTCTAACATTAACAGACTGACAAGATCTTTCATTGTCTATAGCTGGGTACCCATTCCCACTTGGGTGAATTAAGGAAAATTTGTGTAAAGTGCCTTTCCCAAGGACACAACGTCAGGCCCCTAGTTGGATTCGAATCCACAGCCTGACGGTTACGGGTTTAAGGCTTAACCACTAGACCACTGCCGCTACTACACCATAGACATGAGTTCTCTGTGACTGGTAGATTGGTCTTACCCAAACTTAGAAATGAAAAGACAACTAAAGATCTAGTCAGTTTGTTAATGTTTAGTGTGTGTAATGTTCAGCTTGCACTGTATGCTGCCTTGGCAGCTGAAAATGTTTCTGAGTATTCTAGGGTCTGCTGGGGTAATAAACTAATAATATTAGTTGTAAAGTGCATAGAGCATGCTGCAAAGCATGGTATGCACTCTATGTAAATTAAATGGAATTATTATTATTGTTTATTACTGAAGTTTCACAATGTAATCTCTGTGACACTGTTCTCCGGTTTGTGGATGCAAGCAGGTTTTAGAGAAAGTGAATAAATGCTGGCTTGATTAGGCTCTTTGTGTGCTTGAGGAAGTAAATGATTTAAAATATGTTTGAGGATTGTTCATAACAGTACATTTCCCTTATAAAAGGGGGAGGGTTGGGTAGGGGACAGGTGGGGATAATAAATGCCACAACATTCATGAAAGGGGTGTATGGGGACTACTAGGTGGAACAGTACATCTTCAAATGTGTTTCAGTTTGGGCTTGAGTAAAGAGAATCATAATATATTGACATGATGATGACCTTTTTGATCTTGTCAGGTACAGGGAAATACAAGATAGGCAATAGACATACAGAAGCAATGGAGGAAAAGAAAAAATGTAGGGCCAACAAGTGGCATCCTCTGACCACACACCTGTAAATGAGGTTTGTCATTGTGGGTATTATGTTAAATTTACAACAAAATTTTGCTTTTCCTGATTAATTGATTGATACATTTTGTAGAGTGAAACTGTGCTTAATACTTTGCCATCACAAAATACACTTGCCATCAAAGGCAAAGGCATTTTGGGGAAAATCTAAAGAAAGTGGGTGATACACCGTACACATCGCCGATCGGCAAGATTTGACGCTAAAATGTGAATGGTGAAGTTTCCTTTTACTTATATGTTCTTTGTCCCTAAATTCTCTGTCAGAACCTGCCCAAACTAGTGACCACTGGTGACGATAAAGATGGAGGTATGTTTGTGCTGGCTGGACCCCAGATTTTGATCCAGGAGCTGGGACCAAAGTAAGTGACCAGAATGGATGTTTCTTGTTTGTTAAGAGGTGGTTTATGGGCATGATGTGTGGATGTATGTGTATGTACACACTTTTATACCATGTTTATTAGATTTATGTAATTTTTAGTTTGCATTTGTTAGTTTTGCGTCTCTTTCACGCTGCATAATGTGTTGTGAGCACTCTGGTGTGGTTTGCTTCTTCTTTACCATCAAACATCAATTATCTCTTCTCCTTTTCTTTGTATCTTACTCTCAAGTAACACTTCTAATCTTCAGCACTTATATGACCTATTTGGGTTCCAATTGCCGTAAAACTCTAAAACTTAACTATAGTGGTAATTCTTCCCCCTTTTCGGACACTCTTTTGAGTGTGTGTTTGTATGAATGCATGGTGGGAAGAAGGGTAAGGGAGACATACAGATAAAATATGTCATCTTGTATGTACTGGTTTCGCATAAGCCTCTTTCTTCATTACTCCACTTTCGTGGCCTAGAGGTTAAGATGTTTGCCTCTCATTCGAATGTCGCGGGTTCGAATCCGCGAATGTTCTGTCGTCAGCTTTCATCTCCACTTTATGACCCCACCTCATCACCTCCTTTGCCCCCTCCTCTGGGCTCCTGACTCTTTCTGCAGCCTTTCTACTGCTACTCCTTGGCTCCTTTTTACTGCTGTCTTTCAGCCACACCCTGATCTTTTGGTAGGAAAGATCTACACCTAGCCTTTTCAGACAACAGCGAAAAATCTTGGAGGGCCCATGTGCAAGTTGCACACGTTAAAGACCCTTTGGTGGTCTAAAATCAATAAGAGTAGGATTGGGCCGCCACCTGGGCAAAATTCAAAATTACCTACCATCTGAAAAAGTTTAATGTGTCCCATGTGCTCCTATGACCTTATGCAGTTGTGAGCGCCGTAAAAAAACACTAACTTTAAAAAAACCCGACATTTATTGATATTTGTTTGCTACAGGTCTACCTTTGAAGTTATATACTTGTGTACAGCAGGGAGGTAACTAATTAATAAGATCAGTTAGGAAGTGACAAGTGCAATTTCCGGGACACTTGACTCGACATAAATGCTTTGAACATCTTGCTCTCACTGAAAAAATAGAAGACAAACGAGGCGGGGGGTAGACCCGGATAAACTTATAGAATTTGAAAAACCAGAACAGATGGAGTATAGGTAAACACTAGGATAATTTAGGATTTTTGAGAGCTTCCAAGCAGAGAAATGAGTGGAGAACATGATCGCCAATGAATGTTCTAAATCTGGCAGTTTATGATGATGATAATGTATGAGGGAGGCAAACTTATAGATTGTACCAGGACAAGACACAAAATATTCAACACAACATCCTCAATTTATCATATTCCTCTCTGTCATTCTCAGGATCTGCGAAGTGTTTCATGGAAAAGGTGCCCCCAGTAAGGGATTGTTTCGAGGCAAAGCACCGAAACCTGAGAGCCAAAGAGGGAAGGCGGAGAGTTTGCTACGAGAGTATGTGGCCAATCAAGATCAGAGACAGGGTGAGAATGGCCAGGGAGATTCAAGCCGTCAAAGTTAACCTCTGTTGTGTTGTTTCAATGAATATTCTGGACATTTCCTGCGGTAACGGTCATACTCAGACTTAATTAAGAATTGGATAAAGGGCCATTTCATGAAAAATTAAACTTCCTTACTCTTACACCCATAAAACACAGAGGATGACCTTCAGAAAAAAATTCTCAATGATTGTCATTTTTTGTTTGGTTAGAGCTTTTTTTTTGTTGCTTTTTAGGTGTTTTTAATTTTTTTAGATGAAAGCTGCTTCTATTTCTAATAAACAGAACAAAAAAAGAATGGCTCCGCCACTGATTAGAATTTTTTTCCCCTAGGTCATCATCTTTGCTTCACTGCAGTTTTGTTTTTCATGGAATATCCCTAAACGTGATATTCTTTTACCTTTTGCCCATTTGGTGTCCAATTATCAGAGGGGATAAAATCTATATATTCAGAAATTATTGTGTTATGAATTACAAGTTTAGATGTTATGTCTGCTAGTCTGTTTCATATTGTTTTGTTATGTTTGCTGTTTATAATTTTAGAGAATTTCTGATTTGGGGAGAGGGGGAGAGAAATTTTAATTTTCTCAGTTTATCTTGAAGTAACAATATTTTGAACATTATTTTTTATACTTAGACTTCATAGTAGGAATCACCAGGTAGTGCTTTTTTATTTTAATGTAAATCATTGATTTTAAGTGCAATGGATTCTGTGACTCCTTTGTATGGGGCTTTTGCTTGAGCTGAAAGCAAAATAATAATTGTTGAATACTTGGCTTGTTGAAGTATTTATGTAATAAATACAATGATTTTGTCAGTAAATGCGTATGTTTCTGGATCTAGATGTCTGTTCTTGCAAGTCAAAACGTTTTTGTTTACACGTGTGTTACTTGCATCTATGATGTAACGGTTATTGCAAAGAGGAGACGGGGGTGGGGGGGGCTCTCGTTGTCAAGAAGTTATGACGTTCGCCTGTCATTCAATAAGTCTCGGGTCCAACAAAACCTGACAGCGATGGAAAATTTTATTCTCTAAAAATTTTCGTCCACCTCCCTCTAACCATGTTCTGTCATCTGCTTTCGTATCCACTTTCCACCCCCCACCCCTACCCCCTTTGCCCCCTTCTCTGGGCTACTGACTCTTTCTGCAGCTTTTCTACTGCTACTCCTTGGCTCCTTCTTACTGCTGTCTTTCAGCCACACCCCTTATTTTAGTTAGTGTAGGTAAGATCCAACCCCTAACCTTCTCGGATAAGGGCGAAAAATCTTAGAGGTACAGTGTACAAGTTGCGCACCTTAAAGATCCCTTGCTTTTCGAAAATTGATAAGAGAAGGCTTCGGTCGCCACCAGGGCAAAATTCAAAATAAATTCCGACCAAACTGAAAATGTTTAAGGTGTCCCAAGCACTTATATGACCTTATGCAGTTGCGAGCGCTGTGCATAAAATACCAAAACAAAACAAACAGAAGACATGACTTTGATTCTGATGTTTTTGATAAATCAATCTGAATCATCGACATCTGTCTGCTGGAGTGATGAACCCCACACAGTTCAGTTTTGATCTGACAAGCAAGGTCGAAGCAGTCTGCTACCTAAATGAAAAAAGATCTGAACATTAAGTTTGGAAAACAATGGTTGAGATCACGTGTCAACAAATCCAAGTGGCTTTTCGAGTCCAGACTTTTTTTTTTTTGTCCAGACAGACAACAGAACTGCCTTCTGCAGGACGATCGGAAGGCCAAGGTGCAAGGTTCTACTTCCTCATTATTCTTCTGCTTTTTTTTTTGTCTGTCCATCTTGATTTTCCCAGAGTTGTATAGCCAATTTCAAGTCCATGTGCTTCTCAAAATCTGCAAGATAAATGAAAGACTCGACTAGCGCTCACAGTTTGCCTATCCATCTGTATTTCATGCAAACAATTATGTGTGGACACACTGGTGGCTCAGCTGATATCTTGCTAGTCTGCGTCAAGTTTGAGTTAGAGATTTGGAAATGTCTACGTACTCCCCGATTGGGATCTATGTAGTCATGGTGTCTAGGTGGACCCCAAAAATGTTGGATTGTGATTGGCTCGCTGAGCGAGCGGTAGTTTACATTATTACATTGATTACAATGCAAGACTGCTAGGCCTACTTACTGATCATCTCGGGTAGCGATTAGATTTATCATGTCTTACTATAATTTATTTATTTTAGCCGAGAGAGAGAGTATTTAATGAATAAACGTATCTAGATCTAGATTTTGTTGTGCACCCAGCTAAGAGTGTGCAGTTCGGTCTAGATGTAGATTCTAGATCTAGATACGTTTATTAATTAAATACTCTCTCTGGGCTAAAATAAATAAATTATAGTAACACTAGATCGACACACCGCCCGAGATGATCAGTAGCCTTGCATTGTAACCAATGTAAACTACCCGCTCGCTCAGCGAGCCAATCACAATCCAACATTTTTGGGGTCCACCTAGACACCATGACTGCGCAGACCCCAATCAGGGAGTACGTAGACACTTCCTAGAGATTTACAGCACTTGGAACACAAATAGGTCAAGCGCCAAACATTAGAGGGGATGTTGTTTTGTTTTAGTAAGGTTTTAGGTTTTACGGCGCTCGCAACAGCTTACGGTCATATGAGCACCAGAAGATTAGAGGTGTTTCAAGAGAGTAACAACAAACATAAAAAAGAAGGGGACGATAGATGTTTGATAGGAAAGAAGGAGCAAACCGCACCAGAGCACCCTCCAACCACCCACAATACTGGGGAACTCGGATTCAACGAGGTCGCCCAGCCTGACCTAAAATCTCGTTGAATCCGAGTGTTCTTTATTGCAAACATGAGGTTTTGTGTAGATAATTACAGGCACTGAGCAAGTAATGTATATAAAGAGAAGTCACAAGTAGTGCCTGAAAGGCCAGCGTGTGTCATCTCGATTGTTTACCAAAAAGTTGTTTCTGTGAAGAGCCTAGCATACAGCAACGTTTGATTCCATAGACCAGCGCACAATTCATTACGTAGATCTACGTCAAGACTAGCTTATCATTGTAATAATGATCAGTTGCCGAGGGGGAAAAAAAAGACGCGTTTGTATCAGCAACGTTCAACACCCGGACCGCTTGCGCCCCCCCCCCCCCCCCCCCCCCGACACGCACACACAGCCACACGTGTGCAGGCAGCCCAACCGACCCCGACACACACCAGAGTAGACACGTGCCCGCACCAACAACGAATGTGTTGGTATGAAAAAAGGCCGCCGATTGGTCGTTTGCAATCGGGTAAGTGAATAATGGTTCACGATGCAGGTGCTATGGATGGTTTCCGGGAATCCGGGAATAAAGTTCGTTCTGGGAGAAAAATTAGCGAAGCAACGTCTGCGGGGGCTGTTCATCCTGGATCTGAGCTCACTAATTCGAGAGCTCGTTTGTCGTTGAATCCGGGTTATTTTTATTGATTTTAAAGAAGAAAAAAAAACGGGGAATCTATCTCTTCTCGTTGAATCCGAGTTCCACTGTAGTAAGAATAAGGAAAGAAAAAGCAGCAGTTCCCCAAAAGAAGGACCAGAGCACCTGCCAACACCCACTTAAAATATAGAGAACAGACAATCAAACAAAAACCTAGCACAGAATTAAATAAAAGAAAGCAAAAACAAATGAAATGTCATTATACATTACACGATTTATTGTCATCATAAAGGGTGATTTAAAAAATCAATTATTGAAACAAAAACAGAAACTGAGTGACACAGAAATACAATGAATCACAATGAGAAACTTGGATGTCAATTACATGAAACCACCATCCGACCACCCTGACATGCAAACAGGAAGCAACACTCGCACAACCAGTCTCCCAATAAAACACACGACACCTCTATTCATCATCCCACATCCTGCTAGACCTGTTGAATAAATGCCCACTTCAGCCTTCCACAGCTACCTGCTTATATATATATATATATGTGTGTGTGTGTGTGAGTGTGTGTCACGACACGGTGAAATCAGGTGCCCGTCAATTATTGGTCGTGTAGAGTTTTCGGTTTAATCTAAAAGCTTGTTTGTCTTGCTTTTGACGAAAAAAAAAAAATACCCATATATCTTATTTTAAAAATTTGAGGTATTTACAGCTGAAAGAGGTAGGGGTCACCTGGTTACAGTTACAGAGGTAGAATTAAATCTAGTGAGAAAATGGCTGCTATAAAGTTTGGTGACTTCCCAAGGTTGACATTTCATGTAAACTATTAATTTACATTTGCTGTACCTTTAATCAACGTTTTCAGTAAAATCAAAACAGAACTGTGTTTTTACATGGACATAAGGGGTGTTGACAAAAATTAGATAAAAATTGTCAAACGGGTGAAAAAATGCTGTCTCTTCAATTTCATTCTTTTGACAAGTGACTGATTTCACCACAATACTTCACATACATGTATGTATATATATATATATATAATTCCACTCCATTTTCTCTCAAGAATTCCAGGCAAGCACACAACCTTCACAACAGCTATAGCACCAGCAATTCATGTCATCTCTAACACTAACACTCACTTGCTCATGCATGACTACATTAACAGTAAGTCACCATCCACACTTTCCAAGTCATGACTACAATAACAATAGGTCACTATCCATACTTTCCAAGTCATGTCTACAATAACAATAAGTCAGTCACCAGTCACATTTAATTTTGTCAAAAATCATTGTCCCTCTGGCTATCAGAAAAAAAGTCCCTTATGCAAGAAGAAGTGCAACCAGAGGGGATTCGCAATATATCCAACATTTGGTTGAGGTTGAGTTGGGTTAAAGTGAGAAACGCCGCCATAGTGTCCACATACATGGCCCACAAATATCTTCACTGAAATACACTTGTGCAATCATCCTTCTCACAACAACACAAAGAAAACCCCACAAAATCCGGCATCATTCTCCAATATCAAGAAAGCGAAAAAGGGACAAGAAATTAATAATCTGAAAAAAAAAAAAAAGAAAGGCAAATCAAATCAAAACACAGAAACTTGGGGATTTTGAGGGGATCTACATTCACCACCCTTAAGCATCAGATAGTACTTTTCTTTTTCGGCAAAGCGTCAATAGTTTAGTAGTATACCTGAGCTATAGTTACTTAGTTTTGAGATGAATGCATGCAAACACAAGAATACCTAAATAACCTATTTCACAGGACATCTCTGTACATGTTTCATAACATAAAATGTGGAATGTGAAGTCAAATTGTCCTTTCATTTTTTTCAATCTATCAATACCCACCCCTGACGTTATCTTAAAGAATAAATAAACAAAACAAAAAGCATGAAATAGTCAGGAAAAAAATGTCTTTGACTTACTAAACCCCAACAGAGCCATCTGGCTCTCCCAAAGCTGTTTTAACAGCACCCTAAGAGACACATTATCAAATTAGCAGGATACTCTGTCCAACAAGGCATCCAAAGACTTCCAAACCATGGAAATGTCCTATCAAATGACCCAATCAGAACATAAGATTTTTTAAAACAGTTTGCTAGAAGAGACAAGGTAGCAATGAGGGGTGCCACCAACCTCTGTGAGAAGCAAAAACCCAAATGGTGTATAAAGCTCAGTTTGTCTTAATATTGCAGGAAATGATAACCAGATGAATTCCAAGTCCCTGAGCAACCCTTTTTCATCTACAATGCTCTAGTAACAAATACTGTGCCAGTACATTCATCATTCATGAAAATATCCCAGGCCGGATGCATGTGCACAGGGAGCAATCTTTCTTTCTCTCATCAGTAAGAAGCTGAAACATGGACGCAAAACACAGCCACATTATACCCAGACTTGTCATCAATCCACAAACACACACACACACACACAACTGCCGATACACTGATGTACATATTTGCTGAACTCTACTGCTAAAAATGTTTTTAATGTACAAAAAAACCCGGAAAATTAAACAAAACTTATAACCCAGGAACTGAACAACAGTCGACCAATCCCCTACAGCACATTCACTGGCCTTTCACAACACCCACTCCATGCCTAGCCAATCACCATAAAGGACAAACGACTTGCCAAAACAGTCCAACAGACATACAATAATAAATACCAGCGAGTTATAAAGTACAGGAGATTTCATCTTCCTTGCACTTATGTACATGTACAAAACAAAAGAAAGAAAACTCCACCCACTCCAAAAAAATGAAAGGCAGATCAAAGTAAAATAGGGTATGATCCCTCTCCTCTGGACAATTTCTTTTCCTATTTCTTTTTTTTTTTTGTTGTTTGATGTAGCCGTTTTATGCATTCATCAACCGACACAGTTTAGATCATTTAATAGGTGCCGATGCAAGCTTAGAGGGATTCATTATCCGAACAGAAAGACCCAGATATTCAATAAAAATGTGAAACATTAAGGAACTGAACTTCGGTCTCCTGCCTGCAACAGCAAAGCACCCAAACACTTTACAAATCTCTATCAGATTGTCTTCGGAGAATACAAGTAAAACACTAGGCTGGTGGAACAGAAACTCAAAGTCCAGAAACCAACATTTGACACACAGGGAAGACAAACAGGGTTCCACTCCAGTAAAGCAGCTTCACACATGTACACAGATTTATAAATCCCTTCACATTTTAGATCATTTAGGAGGCAGGTCTCCAACCCTACTGTCAGGACTAACTGAGGCAGAGAGGGATACAATATCCCAAGCAGAATGACTGAGATGACAGAAAAAACTCTTCCCACATGACATGGAAGTTAAACTGAGGTCTCCTGCATACAATAGTGAGGAACCTAACCGCCACACCACAAATGTTTGTCTTCGAAGAAAAGGGTTCAAAGAAGAGAAATACAGAAAGGTGGAGGAAATCTCCCGAGATCCTAGTCCACACAAAGCAGAAGAGGAAAACCTTTTTGGTAGAGAACATGTCAAGAAGATTCAATCTGGCACACTGCTGTGCACTTCCTTTCAAAATTCAAAAAATCTCCCTGTGAAGACCAAAAATATTCCCAAAACGTGAACCTCCTGACCAGTCCAAAAAAAAGTCACCTAGAGCAGTGCCTAATTACCACTTCATTACACAGTACAGGGGAACCTGCTCTAACGGCCACCCATCCAATACAATCATCATTACAAAACAGCCACTTCCTAACTCCCGGCTAGGATTTTTAAAAATATTACAGTCACACTATCCAAGATATCCACCTGTCTACGGCAATTACTTTTCTCCTCGACAATGAATGGTGTCTTGACATGCTTGAATGTAATTCTACTGAATATTTTTTAGACTTCCACAAGAAATGCATTTCAAATACACCTTTGACCTTTCTCCCTGAATACATAATGACACACAAAGTACGGCTTGTCATACTCACTGGTTGAGAAACATGGGCAGACTTGTACTACACACTCAGTACACAAGACTGACAGGCGGAAACAATTTGTCCGATTATCCACATCACTTGAACATCAAGTGAAAAGAGTGAGTGAAAAGAAAAATAACTTTTAAAGAGGGAAAATAAATCAAAATCTCAAGGGTAAAAAAAAAGGATCATCTGGTCTATAAAAATAACGCCAGCTAAGACAAATAAACAAATAGCCGTGCACTGTGCGTGTTCCACATTCTCAAAAACTGAACCTTTGGGCTAAGAAACAGATCACTTTGCCCTCCCAGTGGGGCTTCAAGTCACAATAAACACCTGAATGAAACCCAGCAAGTAGAGCCGTATTCCAGTCTCATACAAGAAATTATTCATTCAAGATTATACAAAATTAAAAAAAAAAAATTTTTAAAGGCTCCTTTAAGAATTGGTGACTCGAGCGAGTCCGAGGTCTGTTGGTTTCTGTTGACGTCATGAACTATGCACAAAGTAGTTATACAACACAGGTCTACCAAAGAATCTAAAAACATTGTTCGGCTCAGGTCAGTCCATTCAGTGAGGATAATGTAAACAGCTAAAGCTATACGCCTGAGACTGAGGTACAATCAGCGCATGACGGGGCCCAGGAAAATACAATATATACAAAGGAGTCCACTTTAACCGAAATCAGAGGGACTGATGCATTTTCTTCAGTTTAGCTGGGTTTTTGGTGAAGAGAGGTTGCTCTAATAGAAGAAAAGAATTTGACCATTTCCTTTTTCATTCAGAATACTGCTGTTTTCAAATTTTCTATATTCGGTTTAAGCAGACTCCACTGTATCTGCAAGACAATCTCGCTATCACATCTCGCCTATTACCAGAGTCATACTCTATTCTGTTTTGACTATAGAAGACAGTTTTCTGACCACCTGCATAGACAGCACATATAAATATATATCCTCATCAAGCTGTTCAAATGTCATAGCCCAAAAAGCAAAATTTTTCAGGAGAGAGAGAAGCAGTTATTTCAGTTGTTTAACAAAGAGTATCTACATTACGAATTTTTTCTCGAGTTATTTTCAACATTTAGAATTATAATTTCGACAAAATATTTTATGAGTATATATGCAACCAGTACCACAGATTAAAAAACTAAAATAAGAAAAAAAAATTCAAAATTTTGGGCTTAGTACATCTGACAAGCTGGCTGATGATATGCATGCATCCAGCAGAACACACTGTGCAGCATAACAAAGCTTTCTCATAAAAATATTTACACCTTAATTACACAATAAGATTGAACCATTTTCACTTGCTATCAAATTCTTCCTACAAACGCGCAAACAGCCATATACACCATCTGACCAGAGACCCGATCACTCAAGCATTAAAGAAAGGCTACGGTAAAAGTAGTCAAGCAAACCAGGTACAGACTCTCCTATGTACAAAAAACTTTTTGTATAACAAACGGATTAGCTCAACTCTTTTACTTCTCGGGGAAAAAAAAAAAAAAAAAAAAAAGGACAAAACCGTCTACACATATACAAATGTACAGATCCCTTCTAAATTTTAAGATCTTTTCCCATAGCACTCTGCAATCCACATTCCTTGGAAAGCTTGTATCCAACTACTATTGCTAGGGAGTCATCATATTTCTAGCCACGAGGGCCTGCGCCAGTTAGTCTACCTGGCTTTCACTCTACTTGCTCTAAACTTTTTGAGGACGAACATTTTTCTTATTCAACAACGCTAGAAGACAAGTTTTGGGGCACTAAAAATAACTTCATTATTCATACAAATTTTTCAATTCATTATTCACGTGCCTGACAAGACAAAAGCATGCATACTATGGAATATTGAAATTTGTGTTTCTGCATCTTATGTGTTACACAACATGGCCCTTGATCTGCTGTTGGACAAGTATCCATTGAGTCTTCAAAGGGTTTAGAAAATGTAAATTGCAAGTTTAGTTTACACTTATTTTGTTAAAATTCAAAACACAGTGCTAGCTAAAAATGAGCATCACTTGTCAAAAAAACAGGAAACCAGACTGAACACAGGAATCTTCTCTACACTGTGAAATGTAGTGCGATCTAGTGAAAATAAAAATGTTGGGTGTTTTTACGCCTCCAATTAACACAATTTACATCATTCAAAGTCTGGCTTCAATCCCGCGGGTCAGGGCTAACCTATGCTGAAATGGATACAACAACCCAGAAAACCCCCCCCCCCCCGAGATACACGATCCACTCAGGGAGGGAAAAGACTTTGTGTCTCCTGCTCTAACCATTTTTTAAAAATTAGTTACTGCTCTACATAATTCAGTACAGTGGATCCCCTCACTAAATCCTGCATTTGTGTAACACGTTTCTCTGTGGAAAGACCAGGAAGACCATGCTCAGCCATACAACACTCCGATTGTTCACACAATATATACAAGCTCCTGTCACAACAAGCCAGCATGTGAAATCTACAGAAAAGCAAATGGTAGTAGATAGATGACCCCCCCAAAAAAAGCTTCAGAAACACTGTATAAGACAGGGCAGGCCTTGTTGAGAAGCAGGGAGTCGTAGTTCCACTGTGAAGTAGTGACGAGGAAGGGACTTTGGGGAGGGGGAATGATAATGACGATGATGATTTAATGATGGTTGGAGGGGGGAACAGCTGTCTAAGCTTGTTTGCTACGTTTACGAGGGGGCCCAAGGGGAGGGGACTGCTGGCTGGCCAGGGCTCGGAACGCTTCTGCAATGAGGTGGGGGTGTGCTTGGATCATCGAGCGCCAGCCTGTCGTCTCCATGACGTCCGTTGCATGGCTGAAAATAAATAAATAAATAAATAAATAAATAGATGAATAAAAAAAAAAGACGAAAACAATCTTCAACCATAGACTTCACCTTAGAAAATACAGAAAATTACAACATCTGTACTCTAATTCAATTTAATTTTTTTTTAATAATTCAGTTTGCACAGACAAAAACATCAACACCTTCCTGCACAGGAGCCACATTAAGAGTTAATTTTTAAAATTAATAAAATAATGGCTTGATGGTGGAAGGCACATTTTAAAAAAAAACTAAACAAGGGTAAGACAATTCAGCTACAAAAAAGCAAACTTATGGAAAGCTGTTGGCATTGTGCACTCCCCATAGTCTAGTTTCAGTAAGAGTTTTATGGTTAGTTACTTAGTTATAGTAGAGGGTTTTACAGCGCTTGCAACTGCATAAGGTCATATGAGCGCAAAGGGGTGGATGTCAACAAAGAAGTCTTTACCGGGAATCAAACTTACTCTGCTCACCTCTCTAGCTTCAGCAGCACAAAGTCTGCTTCGACTATCACGGTACCCCGGAAATAGCAGTTCACAAGAGTGTGACAAACATACAAAAAAAGTAGACGAAATGACGATAGTAAGGATTAGGAAAGAAAAAGCAGCAATTCCCGGTTGTAGTTCAGGCACAGTTATGAGCATGACATTGTTAGACCAGCCCATTTACAATTTTACTGTGCCCTAGAACGAGAAATGTCCTTCCTTTGGCAATGGCCTAAAGCCACTTCAGTCAGTGACACCCCCCGGGGGGGGGGGCGAGTTTTATGGTACAATGTACTTGCAACACAATTAGACAAAATAAGTGCTGAAGATTAGACATGTTATTAAAAAGTAACATACGAAGAAAAGAAGGAAAGATAATGGTGTTTGATAGAAAAGATGGTGCAAACCACAGCAGAGCCCCCGCAAACCATCCACATTCTGTCCTCTCATTATCCACATCTACAACAACAAAGTCTGCACTAAAACTCACCTGTTGATGAAGTCAATGGCATGGGTTTTCAACTGTTCTGCACTGTGCAAGTCCGCAAGAACCAGTATGTCACAGACGTTTTCTATCGTTAGGTTGGAGCACAAAGCTTCTTCACACATCACTTTTAATCTCTCCAGAGCATACTAGTGAAAGAAAAGAGCAGAAACAAATTAGATTATGAGGCAAAAACTATACATTTGCGTTTGATTTTTACATTCAGAAACAGCTAAAGCTGCACACTAGTTAAAGAGAAAATGAATATCTTCCTTCAGCATTAATTTTGAAGAAGGGCATCTGTATAAACACAATAAAGGGAGGAGGAGGGGAGAGAATTCAAGACAAATGAGAATATCACTGATGTGTTCCCCGCAAAGTATATATATTATTAACTCTAAGAACGTATCAGGTGGCACAGCTGCCCACCCATCAGCATAATGTGACCTCAGAGCTTTCTTGTCATATCTCCATTTTTTCCCCCCCCCCCCCGTGAAAATGTGACATCTTCTTAAGCTCACTCTCTTTGATATATGAACTGTTTTCACTGTTACTAAATCAAAACTGGAGATACAACAAGAAAGCACTGATGTCGAGATATGTTTTAGGAATCAACTAATAAATTAATAATATGGCCAAGGACACGTGTAGGAATTTTTTTTTTAATTCTCTAACGGGCTGAGGCTGTCGCCTACACCACAAAAGGGCAGCCATTTTCAAACACCTTGTCAACCTTATGTTTGTCTTACTCCTGGCCTTGGCACTTCTAAAGTTAAAACTATAAATGTAGCATGCTTTACAAAGCTACATGAAAACATCATCCTCCTACTCTACTACATCTCTCTATCCCTCTCACATCCTAAAATTGTGTACTTCACCACTCACATTAAACAAGCTAATATCGGACAAATTAGCAAAAATAGGTAAAGCAATTTGACCAGTATTTTCAGTTTGACACCAACAAATAAGGTGTAAAAACGTTTTAGCTAAGAGATAGAGAATCTTTGAAACCAATTTTCTTGAAACTATGCGTCATGGAGTTGATTGAGTATGAGTTTTTGATTGATTGAGTTGGTGTTTTACGGCACTATCGACACAGTTTTGGTCATGTAAGTGCCAACAAGTTTTATTGTTGTTAATGGTCATATCATCATCATGTTAAAAGGACGGACAGACATTTATAAAAACATTAATAAATACGGTAAAGGCTCTCATTTACACGGGTACTTACAATGACAATTTCAGTGTACGAGGGGCATACCAAAAGTTTTTTACCTGACCAAGAAGGAATAAAAGTAGAAAGCTGAAATTTGGGGAGAAAGCCAACAATCATCTTCCTACAATGCATGTAAATTTTGGAGAACTTCCGATAACTGGTTTTAACACCAATGCACTGTAAGTGAATGGGGGAATGTTGTTCTCCAATTCCAACATTAAAATGGAGAAAATTGAGCACAGGGCAGTAATGAAGTTTTTGCGCTTGCAAGGGAAGCAACTACAGGACATTTTAACCGAGATGCAGGCCATATATGGAACTGAATCAGAATGCCAATTCTATGCTGTGATAAAATTTTGGTGAAAAAAATTCAAATGCAGATTCATGGACATTGAAGATGACCACCGTGATGGTCGCCCAGAGACAGAAACGACAGAAGAGAGTTTTTTCCTTTAAAGTTCTAAAGATGGTTCGTGAGCTTCTGCCTGTAAACTTTCTACAGCTGAAGTACGGAAAGCGTCTAGGGCTAGGCGAAGCTGAACGGGGTCTAAAATTCTACAGTAAGACTTCCTAGCTGATCCGTAAACAGGACTGGCATAGTCCAGCCTGGAACAGATAAGGGAGCGGTAGAGTTAAAGAAGTATTTCAGTATCACCACACTATTCAGGATTGGATAATATTTTTGAGAACACTCTGAAACCTCGTCTTTAGGTCTTTAACAGTGGTAGAAAATAATGTTACGCCTAGGAAACAACTGGTTTTTTAACAGGAATTTTCTTCCCAAACAAAGACAAGTCTGGTTGTGGCACACACTTGTGCGACAGACAAAAATGGACATGTTCGTTTTTGCTGTAGAAAATTTAAACCCCTGCCCATTTGCCCAAGTTGCCAGTTGAAGCTGAAGCTGACTTTCAATGTGATCTATTTTTACTTTGATTTATAGCAGACCAGGACATCGTCATCGTAAAGTGAGCAGTCAATATTGTTTTGAGGGGTTTTTGTGATGGGATTGATTTTGATTTCAAAAAGTATGGGTGGTAAGATGCTTCTCCTGGGGGGACACCCTCTCCTTGGATGTGTAAATTAGATAGGGTTGAACCTACTTTTACTTGAAACGATCAATCTTTCAAAAAGTTTCGTATAAATTCTGGAAGATTTCCGCGTAAGCCCAAGTCATGCAGGTCTTTCAAAATACCATGTTTCCATGTGGTGTCAAAGGCTTTTTCTAAGTTGAAAAAAAAAAGCCACAAGATGGGCTCTTTCCTAATGAAAGTTTTAAGTCGGACGACATGGTCAATAGTAGAGAAAACCGCATTGGAAATTGGATAAAGAGTTTGAGGTTTCAAGAAACCACATCAGACATTTGTAAATACATTTTTCCATAAGTTTGCAGCAACAGTTGGTAAGTGCTATGCCAGAGTTCATTGTAAATGTTAAGGAGTAATAGGAGTGTTTCGTCTGGGAGACGTTTGATGATTTCATTGTGTGTAAGATCAGGGCCTCGAGATGTGCATTATAGCTCTGAAATGATATATTAAATTTAGTTCATCAAGAGAAAAGCGGCAATTATAGTTTTCTTCATTTGAAGAGGACAAGTCAATGGTTGTCTTTTCAGAAGACATTTTCACTTTTTTAAATTCCGGGTTGTTATTTTGGGTAGAGGAATTTCCGGAAAGGGTTGATGCTACACAGTCAGCTACTGTTTTTCCTGTCTCTGCAAAGGAGTTATTTGGTTTTAAGATGTGTTTGACAGTGTCTCTTTAACTCTTTTGGCGTCTTTTAATTTCTTTATCATCTTCTAGACTGTGCATTAGTGTGTTGTTGTTTATTTTGGAGACATAATTGTGAAAAGATGTTTTTTGGGCTGTTTTAATTATTATGCGTGCTTGGGTTCGTGCAAATTCAAAAGTTGTGAGGTATTCGTTTGTTTTAGAGTTGATAAACTTCATGAGAGCAGATTTTTTATCCACAACAGCTTTTTGGCAGTCTTCAGTGAACCACCTTTTATTTTTTCGGAGTTTGGTGGATAATTTTGGTATGTCTTTGTATGATTTCTAGAAGGGTTTCATGAAATTGATCAAAAGTTTGTTTTTGAGATGGGTTGAGTCTCTGGAGGCATTCCTGGTGAAACTGATCCCAGTCCGCTCCGAAGACTGAAACGGTCTGGGATAGGAGTTCGGTGTGGAAAGTCTGGAATTAGGTTGATGGGGAAGTGGCCTGATCCATGTGGGTCGTCCAGGACCGACCACTGAAAGTCTGGAATTAGATCTGATCTGGATCACATAGGGTTAAATCTATGGACGAAAAGTTTATTTGAATTTTGAAATGTTGGGTTGGGAAATTGTCATTAAAAATACTAGTGTTGGTATGTGTTAAGAAATCTTCTATGATTTTACCTTTAGTGTCAGTTGGTTCATTTCCTCAAAGTGGGCTAGGGGCATCAAAATTACCTAACATGATGAAAGGCTGTGGGAGCTGTTCTCAGAGATTTATTAGTTCTCTTAAAGATAGAGAGACAGCGACTGCTTGAAGTGTTGTGTTTATGTGTACTTGTCTGTGTAGTGTCTGGTTATTTATTAAAATGGAGTAGGCGATTTGTTGTCAGTGTAAATTGTAAGTTTGATAATTTTTTTATGTGAATGTGGGTTTTGTTAATTTAGTTTCTTGTAGACAGATAATATTTGGGGTGTGAGAGGTCAAAAGATGGAAGAGTTCTGCCTGGTTTGCACGCAAACCGCGAATGTTCTACTGAAGAACTGCCGGGTTTTTTTAATTTTGAGGTCTCAGGTTCAATACATTTCTTTTTGGTTGTAGGTGACCGTTGTTTCTGTTTTGATATGCGGAGGACCGCAGCTTTTTTTGGAAGGAAGTGTGGAAGGGGAGGAGGACTGGAGTCCAGCACGCGATGAGGGTGTAGGAAGTGATGATGGGTGTGAAGATGATGACGGGGTGAGGATGAAAAGGATGGCTGAGAGAGTGGAGACGAAGGAGTAAGGGGGGGGACAGTGGATTGGAGTGGGAGAGGTAGGGGGGGAGGAAGAGGACTCCATGTCCTCCTCCGTTTCAAGACTAGAGTATCATCCAGGTATTCTGCTTCTGTCTGTTCGTCTGAAGGACCTTTCGAGTTGGGTTCACTGACCCTGGGTCTGTCTTCAGGACTTCAGAAAAGGTTTTTGTATTCCTCGGGGTCGATCCTGTTGGATATAACGTTGCTCTTGCTTGAGTGAACGTTCCACCATACTGTGCCCTATGTGTCAGGACGGCCTTCTGACACCACTTTGGACACTCAGTCGAAGACGTAGAGTGACCCCCCCTGAAGACAATTTGGACACCAGGGATCTGAGGAGCAGGTCTCCCCAGAAAGTTCTTCCTTGCCGCACAATGACACGCTGCACAAAGACGAAAGCGCAGCTGTGTGTGTCGGAAGTGCTGACAGTTTGAAACAGAACATCGGTTCACACATGGGGATGCCACCAAACGAGGTGCAGACCAACAGTTTACCCGACTCTGTGCTGGAGCTGACTTGTACCACGAGGTCCGTGGATCCTAGTGTTTTTATGTTCTTGGGTTTCATGATTTGGAATGTATTTAGTTAGTGCTTTGTGAATTTTGAAAATGTTTAGTGATGTCTGGTCCTGTTTCTCATCTTTTGGGGAGATCACCGGAAATGGAGTCAGCATCTCCTGTCTGGGATTTGTTGGGGTTTGGGGAGGGAGAAAAATTTGATTTTTGGTCCATAGGTTTTACGTGTTTATTCATCTCCAGAGCTCCCCACCCACCACGAGTCCAACAAGGGGACACTGCTTGGAAGTCCATAGCTGATGTCAGGGCTACCCTAGAGGTATACTCCCAATCGGACGGCAAGAAATCTCGCCTTCCAACCAAGATTGGCCAAACACCAGTTCGAACTGCCCATAACCGATTGAGTGCAGTAGGCCACTACACCCGCCCGTCTAGACCAAATCCAGGGCCAAAGTGGCGTGTTGGTGAGGGGGGCCACACGTCAGCCACCAGGATCCCCTTCTCCGGTCGTACGAGTCGCACCCCGCGGTCAACAGGGTGTCTCACGGATTTGGGGTTGATTTTTTGCTAGATCGGACCTTTGGTCAACAGATCGGAAAGAAAGATAGGTGGACAGAAGACATAGCAAGATTGGATAAAAGATGGCACCCCCACGTCAGAGAGCTAGTGACATACGAGTGGCATCCCATCAGCGGTTTTGGGGAGGGGGGGGGGGTGTTACACCCCCTGTTGATGGGAAAGCCAACTTATTTTTATTCTATTCCCCAATCAGCTCGGGGAAGGATGAAAGAAAAAGGAAGAAAGACGACAGAAGACAGACGATACACCAAAGCAAATGTTGCCCATGCGCACCTGAGCGTAGATGTTCATGGGTAATATTTCACCATTGAAGGGGTCACACCTCCTGCTGGCGGAGCATTGGGTTTATTCATTAGCCCTTAACCCACAGGGCGGCCATCATGGAGTGTCATTTTACAGGCGTTAAATAGCGACATGTCAGGAAATCAACTTCTACAGGATCAGATTTTGTTAAGCGAGTAATCACACCCCTAAACAGTCTTCAAAACTCTTGCTACAATTTAATGTCTTTAACAGCTATATGAGGTCCATACCTTGTCAGCGGCAGCCAACAAATCATCAGCCATTTTGTCTAAGTTGGGTGCCTTCCCTGTGTAGGTAAATCTCAACATTTCTCTCATCACTTCATGGTCCACATCTTGTATGTCAACGCGATTCTGCAAACAAAGAACACACCATTGACGAGAACAAAGAAAGACAGGACATTTTTAAACTTCATTTTTCTTTAGCTTTCTATTTAAATGAATATATTAAAATATTTCACTAGAACAGAAAAGATTGCCCTTGTTTAATAGTCCGATTATTGACAGATAATGAAAATAATGTGAAAAGTAACAAGAAGTAAGCAATAAAATACTTCATTAGTAAAATCAAAAATACAATTTTTAAGAGGTTTTTTTCTTTGCCACATTCCATATTAGCAATGCCAATGAAAATTTTATTTTCCGCTTTAGCCCTTTTTTATTTGGTCCGGTCCCTAAAAATCAATTTTCAATTCAAAGAATTATGCTGTTTGAAATTTTAAGAATCGGTTAATAAATAAAAAAGTTATTGGGTTGTAAAAGTTGGCAAAATATGGACGACCCACATATAGGAAAATACTCCTAAACGGTGGACCACGCAGTAGCAGATTCTGTAAGATAACCGACAATATCTCTGTAATTAATTGGAGTGTTAGAGAGAAACTTGGCTACCCGATGTGTTTTTGGGTGGAGAAATCATTTCTGCCATCAGATTTACTTACCATTTCGTAGTTATTCTGTTATAATTAAAATTTTGGTGTACATATTACGATTTCGTGAAAAAGGGGTGTCGGGGTGAGTCCATTTTATTTATAGCATCGTATCACAACATGGGACCTTTAAGAATATGTTGGCAAAGCTTTCTTCAATGACTGTAGACAATGCCAACTTTCACTCATTCGCTACGCCAAGCGGAGGGGGGACAGCGCGGCTAAAGTGCCGTCAGTACGCTAAGCCACCCCCGGCGGCTCAAGAACCGATCTTCAATTTTAGCTTAGATTCTATTCCAATCCACATATCCATGTTAAAATAAAGGTCATAATATAATGATGCTCAAATTATAGCCCAGACCCCAGTCTTACTACTTTTACACAACAAAATATATCATTATTTTGCACACTAAAGAAATGTAGGACTCTTCTTTAGAATATTAATACAATTGGGCTCAAATTGCCATTGCTCTGTTATTGAGAAATCAATATTTTTCAGTGCTAGATCTAGATCTAAATTGTCAAATTATTCTTTTCTCCCAAAAATCACTATTTTTTATGAAATTACACAAAAAGTACCACTCAAGACGTGTAGGTTTATTCCAAATGCAATTCTGAATAATTCCATATAAGAGTGTTTTTTTCTGTTTGTGAATGCATCTTGTCCATTTTTCAAGATTATAAGGTTTTTTTTTCAATATCAGATGTCATGATCCAAATGTGCAAATTTTATGGAATGTATATAAATAACTGTAAATTTTTCAATATTTTCCAGTCCTACATTCATTTATGGTTATTTTGATGTATCATTTGACAAGGTGCAAACATATTTTTTGAGTTTCACCAAAGATGATTAATTTTTAATTTCTAAATTGTATCCGCATCCAAGCAAAATTGTGTTGCATAATCGCCTCTTACAGGAACCAAAGTTGAAAAATGCACAAATAAACATAACAGATGTATTCCACAAATCATACTGAAAATTTTGGTGCGTAATATGTTAATATTTATTTGAATTTGTGGCCTCAAAGACATTTGAACTGCGCACTAGTCATCATCTCATTTCGCCTTCCCGAAAAAAAATCGTCCACAAGCCGAAAATAATATGTAGAGAATGAGTTAATAGATAAGTTAATTCAATCTAGCAAGCCGTAGAATTAAAAATTATTTTTCTCCGTTGAGACGTAAACACCCCTCGGAATACCCCCATTGCAATGTTACAGTGGAACAGAGAGAAAAACAACCGGATGTGCGCGCCTGCAATTGCCCTATTTCAAGTGACCAATGAACAGGCTCGGAATAGTCGAGCGGGGATTTGTAGGTCATATACATTTGCCGCGAGAGTGAGGGGAAAATGGCCGGTCTCCACGAGAAGCCGCTTTGGATAGGGGGTAGTCGTGCATTTATGATCGGGTCTGCACAACTACTTGACACAGAACGTTCAAATTTGAGCACACTAGACGATAGATAGAACTATTACCATCTCGGCGTTAAAATTCAAGCTCCTTATAGTTTTCAGTTCATCCGATACGAAAGTGTTCCTGACACCAAAATTATAGGTTAATTTATGTGTACGAACTTCAACGTCCACATATCAATAGTTTGCCCTATTTTCTGATTGGTAGCAGTTTCATTCACATTGGTCCAGATATAGAGCATACCGAGGTTGAGAAAGTTAGTCACCTACGCTACGACCCAGTCCAAAAATTTACCCACAAACGGGGACCAAATTTTCACCGCACAGGAAAGCCCGATTGGCATTGCTATTCCATATTCATAAGGGGGTGTGATAAGATGAAAAAGTATGGTCTTATTCTTATTGTCTGTTCACTGAGAGAGTACATTTGTGGACAGAACCAAATAAAACATAACAGAGAAGAAAAAAATTGTGCTCATAAATTTAAAAAATCAATCCTGTTAAATAATCCACAGCACTTGATTTAAACATTGAAAAAGAGAAGAGGCAAGTTTTACGTTTTTTAATTTTAGAAAGAATTTTACTGCATTTGAAACACTAAAAGTGTTTACAAGTGCTGAAGATTAGAGATGCTACAAGAGAGTAAGAAACATCAAAAAGGAGGAGAGATCAGATAGATGTCATGATAAGAAAGAAAGAGCAAACCCCACCGCAGAACCCACCAACCACCAACAGACAAGTTTCAGATCAGATTACAAACGCCTCTGTGATTTATGAAGACTATTTCACTTCTCTTTCCTAAAAAGTGAAGAATCAAACTAACTTTCAAAATACACTTCCTCACCATCAAAACCAGCAAAAAAATTCTATAATTCTCACACATAAGTTACAAAACTATTCCGAAAGGATGAAAAGAGTAGGGCAACTTATGTCTTTACATTCTGCAAGAATAAGAAGAGTACTAAGGTCCCTTGACAATCAGATCAGACAAAGTATGACATAAGCATCACATAAGTAAAAGATTCCATTGAGTATAAATGAAACCATCACTTTAAGAACAGTCTAGTTACTACAACCAAGTACATTGACAGAAATTAGGCAACAAACTGCACAACATGCACAGTGTAGTACATAAAATCTGTTCGCTATGTGCATGCTAGAATGAATTACATTCACTAACCAGACCCTGAGAAAAGCTTACCTGTTTGCTTTCTGTCATCTGATGTTCAAACATTGCATTGAACACAGGGGATCGTGCTGTCAAGGAAAGGAAAAAGAGAAATTATTATCAACATATTTTAAGTCATATCACCCTGTTTAAACAGATATAACAGTACAAATGAAAGTGTCTTGAAAGAACTTGATACTTGATTTTTTAGACAAGCAACCAGAGACTCAAGTACCTTGGTCATGCGAACACAAGCATACAAACAGACCTGTTGACAATTGAGCTTTAAAGCAAAGTAGAGGAGATGGGGAAGATATCCTATATCGTACATAGAAAATGTGAAATCTGACAGTGGTCTATAATTTCATGAAATAATACATCAAATTAGAGACCCAGGGAAGATGGAGGCCTGTTGAGGCAAGGAGAGGGGCACAAACAGACAAACATGGCACTGGCGACAGGTGTCCAGTGACAAACGTTAAAGAGATGTTTGTCAACCCCAGCGATGATCAACTAGCAGATATACGGGGGGGGGGGGGGGGGGGGGACATGCTGACTGCCTTCTCATTCATTGATAAAATCCAATTCCAGCTATACAATCATTTCATTGTAAGGTATGCGGAGCTACCTATAGGAATACAGCCCAATGGAGGCTGGTATACAATTCTCGCTGCCATTTACATTGCTGCCAACTTTTCAAAACCAAAAAATTGACTCAACGCGAGTAGTAGATCAAGGTGGGCAAAGCCAAGTATCCCCCACCCCCCAACCCTTCGCACACACTTTTTTTACATTCCATTTGATTAAAGCTATTCAAAGCAGACCTACGACAATAATGATCTTTAACTGTGGTAACAGACACAGCACCAATTGACTGATGGACTTTGGTTTCTTACATCATATTCACAAATCCATCTTGAAAGGTCCTAATTTGTCATCAGCATCTGCAAATCCCTAACGAGCAGTACTAAAACACAGAAATTACATATTTTCTGGCTTCCTTACTCACAAACCTAAAAAATGTACTAAATATGTCTTTTATGAAAGGGTTGGCACCTAATGCATTTAATTGTCAATTCTTTGAGACTGGTTACAACTGCCACAACATGCTGTCTTTCCTCTCAAAAAACCACATGGATCATAGTTATTTAGCAGTCCATTCATTTACACAAACTATGTTTATCGGTACCTCTTAGCCGTGTTTTCTTTACACCAGCTATATAGAATTGGCCAGCTGTTAAAATGTACTAAGCTGTTCAGACATACTAAGCCCTAAATATTGGATTTTTTTTTTATATTGCAGTTTCCTATTCAGTGGTAATGGTTGCATGTGCTCAAAAAATATTTTGACAAAATTCAAATTCCAAATGTTGAAAAAAAGCAAGGAAAATGAGTAATGCAGGTAAATTGTTAAAAGATTGAAAGGTTTTTTTTTCTCTCTCCTGTAAAATTTAGGGTTTTTTGGCCTAGTACATTTTTTTTTTTAGTTCTAGTTTTAGTTTTAGTAGAGGTTTTACGGCACTCGAAACTGCATATGGTCATAAACGCCAGAAGATTAGAGGTGTTACAAGAGAGTAACAAACATAAAAAAGAATGTGAGATAAGGACGATAATAGATGTTTGATAGGAAAGAAGAAGCAAACCACACCAGAGCACCCGCCAACCACCCACTAGCATACTTTCAACAACTTGCCGATGATAAGCTGCATTAACTCACCAGCCAGGATTGCTTTGTGGGCCAAAAACTCCCTACCCCCTACACACAGCGTGACATCACTGAAGGATGAGCGGTCAAACAACTGACCCAGGTCTTCACTAAGTCGGCATTCTGGAACCTTCACTGGGGTGCAGTTGGACTGACCAGAATTGTTCACTGTGTCACCCACCACACTCACCTAAAGGGAAGACAGAGGATGAGAGACTAGTTTAATTTTAGAAGGAATTGTATATCACAATTAGATCAAACAAGTGCTGAAGACAAAAGGCGTAACTAGAGGAAGGCACAAGAGAAAGGAGGAGAGATAAGGACAATGGATGTTTGAAGAGAGGGAGGAGCATATCACACCGTTGGGAGACTGGTAAAAGTTTCATCTCAACAAGAATTGGAGATATCAGCCAAACACACTGCTTAATTTTTAGAAGCCCCCACCCCTTTTCCAAAAATATTAAAAAACATTTAAAGACCGCTAGTCAGCACACTGATGAAGTCTACATCCCAAAAGACCTTCATCAATGTTTGGCATGGCATCAAAACTAGCCAAAAAGCCCAACACATAAAAAAGGCAAAGGTTTTGAAACGGACAGCAAGAAATTTAAAAGCACTTCAGCTGAACCCCCATTTCAATAACCATCTTAGTACATTCAAAGCATTAATGAGGTAAACCAAAAAAATCAAGGCTTGCTTCCGGTAATAATTTTCCAGATTTATTACCAGAAGTAGGAAAATAAGATCACCATCATATCCGACAATCAATCAAATGGAAGAAAGAAAGATCATTGATAATATCTGTTGACATTGACAAGTATGTGGACAAAAATCTTAATTGCTACCTTTCAAAAAAAATGACTACAACAGATTGAAGATAAACAAACATGGGCACCAGTTCCCTATAAAAGCAATTTTTTTAAATGAAAAAAACACTAAACATCAATTCACCATCGGTACAAAATGTTCAACTTCAAAGACTATTACCTCACAGAATATGGTGAGCTTGTCATCAGGTAATAAACCATTTGCTTCATCCATTAGAAAGTCTCGTCTTATGAATTTTTTGAAACCCCAGTCTTTTCCCTGAACAAATCTGTATGCACGCTGGCTCTCTGTGGAAGACAAACAAGCTTTAGCAAAAGCAATAAAACTACCATTACTGGACAAAATGACTTCCAAACTGATGCTGAAAGTTCTAAGTGGTTGCCATCACAGTGACATAGGTTGACCGTTTCCCCAGTGTTACGATGTATTTAGTACACAAGTAGCATATTCCAACTGTAACTTCTATCCCAACCGTCACCCGAGAATTCTGGCTGGCAACAAAAGTGAAAATAAATCTTGATGTTCCAGAATTAAACTGAGCATTTTGAATACATATTTTCAGGTATTCTGATATTTAACCCTTCTTATAACTTTGGTTTTGTCATACGCAGCCTTAATGCGACAAAACTACCCTATTAACTTGAAAATACATAATCAAACCAGTAAGAAAAGACAACATTGCCAAACACCCTTCCCCTTGACCTGAAGTCAAGTCACAATTTCTGACGAAGTCGCTTGTTTATTCGACACTCTAAATGAGGAAAGGCATCATACACTACAAGCATCCTTGACAAGAAGTCAACTAACTGACCATATTTTCCCAGATCCGTCATGGACCAATTTATACACTTCCCAAAAAACCTTGTTAATTCCCAGGTCTCAACTACTTTATATTAAAAATCTCCAGCCATTTTCGTGGCCTGGCAGTCACCCTGCTAGTACTTCCAGCACAGCAAAATGGCAAATCCTATTTACATTGTTGAGCATTGAGGCAAAGCAGTCAGGGATAAAGCAATGTCTTCTAGGGAGAATATCAGAGAACAGAACAATCATAACACTGATAAGAAGTAGAATGAACAGACCAAATCAGAGCATTGGATCAGAACAATAATCAGTCAACATAAATGTAATTGTCTGTATGTTAGCGATAAATTACACTTGGCCAAATTTTCCTCAGAATCAATTTTTATCATAATCTATTTTCACAGTGGCAAAAGCAAGTGTGTGGAGAAAAAGGTAGTGCAACAAAAAGAATGTACAGAATATTAGCTATTCTACCCAATTTCTGGGAAATAGGAAAAAGACAAGGGCCATTCTACCAGCACTTCTATGATACCAAGGCATGTTGTAATCAAGTTCAACTATACCAAAGAACCTAACACGTCCTCTCTCCGAAATAAAACTATCAACAAATAACCAAGTAAATTCTTACCCATTGCTTTTGTTTCCTCTCGTTTTGCATTGAGTATGGAAAATTTGAACTTGGCTCGGACCTCACTTTTGTTGCAGGACACCAGCAAGAGGTAGAGGGACAGGTAATCTTTGCTTTCTTCGTCCAGACCCTTTGGGTTTACACGCAGACACCTGTGACAGATACAGAAAATAAACCATATTTTATTATGAACAGAATTACATCAAATGGAACTGCTTTTGGTGAGGACTTGTGATAAGGTTTTAAAATTCCAGCTAGCTGAATCTAAGATCCCAAGAAATTAAAGACAGTTGGCAAGCCTGAATTCCTCTTCTTGTCTATTTATTATTCTGACTCCTAGGTTCATGACCTGATTCTTTTTACTTCAAGTAGCAACATCAATGGAGAAGAGTCACAGGAATCAATGTAGCAGAAAAGGGGGAAGATATGAAATAACATCAAGAGGCTAGCCCATGATAGGGAAAAGTGGAAAGCGTTTGTTCATGGCCCACATCCTAACCCAGGTTGAGAAAGACAATGATGAGCAACAAAATAGCTTTTTTAAAGATAGGTACTGTCGTACTACTAACCTATAAACAGAACAGATGTAAAGATCAATAATATCTGAGCATTTGCCAAAAGGTGGGATACCTGGGTGTGACAAGTGAGGTCCAAAATCAACTTTATGTAATAATTCTTTAATCACCCATGTTATATAGCCTAATGATTGCTCTTTCGGGCCCAGGAACTGCCAAAGCTGTATATGCAATGGTCTTGGTGTAATTCTGACTTGAATGACGGAAATAGCAAAAAGTTCGTTCATAACAATGATGACACAAATTTATGAATACTCAAAGTTCCTTTCTTCAGCTAGGCTGATGTTATATTTTGAGACATAACAAATAACTTCCAAAAATACATAGAATTGACAATTTATAAAAATCTTTATTAATTTTTGATAAAATTACTTTTTTGTGTTATAATAGTTATGAACGAACAATAAGTGACCAAAATACTATCAATTATATAAAGTTTCATCGACTAGAATTGTCTAAAATAACACTCTGGTCTAATTATAGTCAAGTGA